CGGATCGGACAGGGGAGGGGGCGGCTCACGCAGCTGGGCGGATCCCGACATAATTGTCGGGATTCGCTTCAGCTGCGGCGTCTCAGTATACCGTGAGCTGTAGCTCGCAGTATACTGAGCTTTGGGTGACGGGAGGACGCTAGTTTGTGTCCTCCCATTACCCTAAGGAGAACTATGGGGAAATGTTAGTTCTCCTTTAAGGGGATTGTTTGTTCCATCCTGCTATAAAGCCAACAGTAGCTCTTTCTATATAAAGCAGGTATAATGGTGCCATGGCGAAGTGGACCTTTAGCACCGAAAGCTGTTTCCAGCACACTTACAATAATGAAATGCCACACATCTTAAATCTATAGACTAATATAGATTCGATGAGCATCTCCTTTGAGCTAGTATTATAGTGTTTACCTTAAAGGAGAACTATGGGGTTAAGGCTTTTCCCCATAGTTCTCCTTAGGGTAACGGGAGGACACAAACTAGCATCCTCCGGTCACCCTAAGCTCAGTATACCGCGAGCTACAGCTAGCGCTATACTGAGACGCCACAGTACACGGCGAGCTACTGCTCGCGGTATACTGAGACGCTGAAGCGCATCCCAACAATTATGTCTGGATCCACCCAGCTGCGTGAGTGACAGCTGGCTCTGCCTATCTAGAGGCAGAGCCAGCTGTACCTGCCCCCTCCCCCGTCCGATCCGCCTCTCCAGCCCCTCCCCTGTCACGGCAGAGAACTGTGACAGGATCGAGAGGTGAGCGAACGCCGGTATCTGTTCGCTCACTTCTCGATCTACTGAGCCGACCTGTGACTGTCTCATTGTCAGAGGTCTGCTAGAACTATGAGGTGAGTGAAAAGCACTCACCTCATAGTTCTCCTTTAAACTATTTGTGTATGTGACATTTCGTACTTACTTGGTCTTTCATATTTTTGTTACTATGTTAAATTGAGATATTTATAGGTCGGTTTTTAGATAAAGGGTAGATTATACATTACATTGACTCTTCAATACTTCCTAACAACTGTTGAGATATCACCCACACAGTAGGGTTGATTACTAAAGGAGTAGATACCAAGCTTAGTTCATTTATTTACTTAGCTAAGTGAATGTGATGAGGCTGTTGTTCTCGCATGGAATACTAATTCCATACCAATGTTTTTTTGCTTGAATATGATTTAATGATTGACATCAGCTTAATTATTTTTTATTACTATAAGTGTATATAATTAGACATAAGCTATAGCAGTGCTAGTGCTATACGTGAACAGAACAGAATGAAGATTCTCTGTACTTCAGTAGACCAACCCCAGTGAGTGCATTGCGAAGAAGCAGTAAAACAGAGTTTTTTTGCAGTACTACAAAGCACGTAGCAGAACCTGCAATTGTAAGGAGCAAATGCAGCTGCCCCTGAATGTGTAGAAACACATTTTTTTAAACATTGCCACGTATTGTTAAGATAATTTCTGCCAAAATGATATCATGCCACTTCATACATGGTGCTTCAGTTATCATATAACGATACACCTAGCTGTTCTTAGTATCACATAGATCAACATGTAGTTTTGAAGCCAAATACAAACATTGACATACATTGTTGAATTCCTGTTCGAGAAATGCTATTTTGTGTGGTCTAACTGATTGAAATTTACATGCACAGGCTCAGTTAAAACCTGCTAACATATAGCAGGATTTGGAAGATCTTATTATTAATAATTGTTATTATATTATTAATTTTATTTGTTCAAAGAGCTTCACTGTTAACTTCTAATTTAACTATTTAAATGATAACATTCAAAGCTTGTCATGGCAGCCTCTTGCTTAGGTTGATATTGAGCAGAGAATCTTTATGCATTGCATACTTAGCTGACATGATGTCCAAGAGATCCTACAAACTCAGCTGGTGTGTTTAACACTCTGAGATCACAATTTGGATGAGCTTTCCACTGTCATGTCCAGGTCCTTTTTTCTGGAATCCAAAACCCGGCATGACGTTTACACTGGCTATAAATGTCTTATTTGAATGCCAAACGCAGTAAAAAGCCTCTAGGAACCAATGTTGTTAATATGGATGCTCAGAGAATTTCATTTCTTGGAAGGGGAGCATTCTAGGTGTGAAAAGGTCAGTGTCAAAAATGAAGACTGCTCTTAAATAAAGTGACATATGGCTGCAATAGATTAAGAGAGGCAGACTAACACTTTCCTAGAACACTTTTTCCAGAACCATTTTTTTATAAACCTGTCTGTGGCATTGCTTACTTTAATTCCCCCATAATGCCGTAGTCAGTAATTTGATCATAAAAAGGTAAAAAATTATTACTGCTCTTTAGTAAATTATAAAGAAGAACTCCAGCTAAACAGCTAATCTATCTCTAAGCCGTGAGGCTACTTGTGACCAGGAAGTGTTATAATAAAATTTTTGTTCTTTATAATTAAAGGAAAACTATGAGGTGGTCGATTTCCACTCATCCTCATAGTTAGAGCCAACCTGTGACAAAGAATCTGTCACAGGTCAGCTCTCTTGATCAAGAAGTAAGCAGAAACATGCACCGATCCGCTCACTTCCTGATCGTCTCCCTGCAATCATCCGTCCCGGCTGCGGTGCTCTCAGTATGTCGCCGGCAATAGCCCTCGATATACTGAGCTTTGGGTCACGGGAGGAGGTTAGTATATGTCCTCCCGTGACCCTGAAGAGAACTATGGGGAAAAACACTTACTATATAGTTCTCTTTTAAAGGTGTTGTTATGGAGCCACCAATGTGACTGTGCATATTTAAAGTGCTATTAAAGCCAAAATGTTTTCAAGCTTAACAAATGCTAAATAAATCACTTACAATTTATGCTTCTCCTTGAGGTTTAAAAGTTTTAGCTGCAGAATCAGTTGGTCTTCTAAACACTGGCCCTAATATGCTGTTTTATTATGTGACTCATTTGCCTTGCAGTGTACTATGGAGCCACCCTTGAGTGTGCTACCAAGGCATGACAAGACAAGCCACTCACTTTCCCCACCTTCTCCAAACCAGTAGATGGACAGCTGGAGACTATGTTGTCCCTTGTGATCTTGTGCTCAACAGTAGGTTCAGGGAAGCCAAGCTGAGAAATCGGAGCAAGCTGTTTGAAAATATTTGACTTTAAAGAAATATTTTTCTGGACAATGTATACCTGTTTGATCTGGATTCATTTTTGAAAAAACATTTTTGAGTTTAATACTACTTTAACTTTAGACGTTTTGTCCATATTAAAGCAAATCTGTTTTTTGCCCATTCATGTAAAAGTAACAGGTTTGCTGGGTAGCAGACATGGTAAGGAATCTGTAAAGAGATCAAATACGTAGAAAGAAAGCATAGTAGGACTGTTTTTGCACTTAGAAGACCACCATATAAAAATCTATTCCCATACTAATAGCTTGGCACCAACAGTAAAACCCAACAAAAAACATAATTCATTGCAATGTATTTCACAAAAATGCTCTAATTTTCTTTAATGTGTCATTTACACATTAATTAATGGTCAATTAACATTCATTAACGGTATTAGTTAACGGTCGTGATGTAATTTTCTTTGTGTCTTTAATATCATCTGATGATGTGAATTAATGTTTCCCATTATTTCTTTATTGGTTATCAGGCAAATCATCCCATGTGTCACTGGCCTGTGATTGACACTTCCCTGATATGTATAAGAATTGCATATCTGTAAAAAAATAAGTCAAGGCAACTGGACTTGCTGTATTTTTCTTGAAGATGTCTCACTGTTCATCCAACCAGCTTTCTCAATTCAGAATTACTTGTACAAAAAATTATCTGGGAATAAATATGGTGAATGTTGCTCCAATCCACATAATCTGCTAGACGCAACCAAGTGTTGATTGCATTTGCATAATTGAATCTAGGAGGTGTTTAATACCCTGCCCAGAGAGAGGTGTTAAAACAGCATTGCATGTGGCAGAGAATAGATGACCATTTTTACATAAATGGTCTCTTTTACACCTCTTTTAAACCAGTCTTCCTCCCTGTCTAAGATGCGTACTTGACTGTCTTCAAAGAAGTGACCTTTTTCCTTTAGATGTAGGTATACTGTTGAATCCTGACCAGAGGGTTTGGCTCTTCTATGCTGTGCCATACGCTGGTGTAGCTGCTGTTTTGTTTCACGGGCATACAATTCTGAGCACTCCTCACTGCACCAAAGTGCAGCCAAAGGCAGCTGATGTACGGCTGATTTCAGCCGATGTACAGCTGAAATTAGCCGTACAAGCCTGAAGTGAATAGCCGAACAGCGTTCGGCTCACTTCACTTTGGCTGGGTTATTCACTCGGCTGCCTTCAGCAGGTTTGTGAATAACCCCTTTAGTCTTTCATAGTGAAGAAGTGACAGGAAGCATCGACTGTAGTGCTGGTTGCTGAATTTGAGGTCTGTTGGGCTTGGTATTAGAAGAATGTACTGAGCTCCCAGTGAGATGTAGTTTGGAGTGCACCCAAGGGCAAGTGCCCTTTTTTTGCCCTATGGGCTTTGTGGGTTAGTGACTTTAGAAAGCATTGCAGAAAAGCATCAGTCAGCAATGGCAGCCACTAGGTTATTGCATGTATCTGACTATGTTGCTATACATTCCGTAATGCCACATTTTCTTTTAAATGCCACAAGGTTGGAGTTTGCAGGCGAAACCAGATCCACTTAGTCAGATCCTTGTTCAAAACACAGGAAGAGTTCATGCGGCAAAACTTTGTATGTGGTAAAATGAGCCCACTGCAGGTCCTACTTTATTGCATCCATTAGATAATGACTATATGTATTTATTATTTATGGATTTATGTCATAAAGAAATTTTAATAAAATAAATGTTCAGAGTCTGATTGTCTAATACTAATATACTATAAAAATATATGAAACATTACTTATTTCTAGAGTTACTGTTGCATAAGGAGCAAATTATTGACAATCAATAATAAAAAAAACAAATGATCGAGTTTATTTATAAACATCTTACTAAAGGTATCCTTTTTTTCTTTTTATAGCCAATCCAACGTATTCTCAGTCAATGGATTGTCCTCAAGGTTACAAACGCATCAATGCCACATTTTGTCAAGGTAAATAACAGAAACTAAAATTAAGATTTCATTTATTGTTGAGAACATGGATATGCATTTCTTAAATTGCTAACACAAAAAAACTTCAATAGCAATGTTCCATTTGTGGGTAAAAAACACACTAGTCCTGTATTTCCTCTGGATTTTTTAATTGAAAATGTATGTTTGTTATCCTCTGTGGCTAAAGCTGGCCACAGAGCTTAGGTAGATTATACTGTACATTAACATTCAGCTCTGTGAGATGTGTGCTGCAAGCATTTGCACAGAGGTCCTGGTGCAGAGAGTGGTGCCCTACCCTTAAACTAACATTTCCTGTCACCCTAAAAGTAACCTTTAAATGAACCCTAACACCAATCCCCTTGTAACCCTAAGACTAACCTGCTTTGTAATGCTACATAGTAGCATAGTAACATAGTATGTAAGGTTGAATAAAGACCAAGGTCCATCCAGTTCAACCTATGTATGTGAGTGTGTGGGTGTATGTATGTTACTCTAACACTTCCCAATATCCCTGTAGATTCTGTGAAAGAAGAAACTGATCCAGAGGTTTCTTGAATTTATCAATCTTATTCGCAGATACCACTGCCTGTGGTAGTGAGTTCCAACTTGCACCACTCTCACAGTGTAACACCCCGTGTGAATTCTAAGATTACCCCCCTCTCTTCTAACCTCTTGTTGTGTCCCAGGGTTCTCAATACAGTTTTGGGATTAAACAGTTTGTTCCTAATATTGGGGTCCCCATTGATGATTTTGAAGACTGCAATAAGGCCCCCTCTTAATCGCCTCTTTTCTAAGGTGAATATGTTTAGATTTTTAATGCTGTCTTCATAACTCAGGCCTTCAATTCTATTTATTAATTTTGTAGCCCTTCTCTGAACTCTCTCCAGTTCCAGGACGTCCCTCCTGAGAGTCGGCGACCAGAACTGTACCGCATACTCAAAATGGGGCCAAACCAATGATTTATGAAGTGGAAGAATTACTCTTTTAATACATGCCAGTATCTTGTTAGCTTTACTGGCTGCTGCTGCACATTGCTTACTATTGCCAAATCTGTGATCTATAAGCACCCCCAGACCTTTTTCTATGTCTGGCTTCCCTAAAGTAGCACCCCCCAAGTAGTAGTTTGCGCACATTTTCCTTACGCCCATGTGCATAACCTTACATTTTTCAACATTAAATCACATTTGCCATCTTGTAGCCCATGCCTCAATTTTGCTTAGCTCCTGTTGTAGTGTGAATATCTCTTGTTCAGAATGTACTGCTCTGCAGAGTTTAGTATCATCCGCAAAAACTGAAACTGAGCTATTTAGTCCAATCTCTATGTCGTTGATAAATAAGATGGACAGGATTGGTCCCAGGACTGAACCCTGGGGCACCCCACTCCCCCCTTGCCCAAATAGTGAATTACCCATTTATCACTACCCTATGGGTCCATTCTTGCAGCCAATTTTCCACACATGTACATACAATTTCTTCTAGACCTGTAGACCTTAGTTTATGGGTTAAACGTTTGTGGGGTACTGTGTCGAATGCTTTAGCAAAGTCCAGATACACCACATCTTCTGGCATTCCTTTGTCTAATTTAGTACTTACTTCCTCATAAAATGTTAATAGATTGGTCTGGCAAGAATGGTCCTTCATGAAACCACATTGGTTACCACTTATAAAAGCAGTTTTATTTGCAAATTCCTGCATGTAGTCCCGTATCATGCTTCGAATATTTTACACACAATTGATGTTAAGCTGACAGGCCTGTAGTTTCCCGATGCACAACTTTTCCCCTTTTTTGAATATTGGTACTATATTTGCTCTCCTTCAATCAGCTGGGACCATACCTGTCATTATACTGTCCATAAAAAATTTGGTACAAGGGTCTGGCTATGACTTGACTAAGTTTCTTTAGCACCCTCGGACGTAACACGTCTGGTCCTGGCGATTTGTTTATATTTAATCTTTCTAATCTCTGCATTACTCTGCTCTCTGTTAGCCACAGAGATGTGTTAAAACTGGTACTACTATCTCGCCAGCTGATGCCCTGATCAATGCCCACGTCCATCTCGTCTGTTAAGACTGGAGAAAAGAATGCATTTAACATATTCGCTTTCTCACTGTCATTGGTAGCTGACCTCCACTCGTCATCATTTATGGTGCCTATGTGTTCCGTCCGTACCTTCTTACTATTTATAAATTTAAAGAATTCCTTGGGGTTCTTTTTGCTTAATGGTTCTATGTGCTCTTTATATTCTACTTTTGCTGCCCTGATTGCTTTTTTTACATTTTTGTTGCATTACTTGTAATTTTGAATGCCGGTGCTGTCCTCTCTGATTTATATTTTTTGAAGGCCTTATCCTTTTCTCTTATGTGTTGTTTTACCTTGCTTTTTAACCACCCTGGTTTAATTTTTGCTTTTCTGAATTAAGTGGTAAACGGAATGCACTGGCAAATTGTGTTATTCAAGATTGCCTTGAAACATCTCCATTTCTCCTCTTTGTTCCTATTCAAGAACATTTCATCCCAATTTATGTCACATAGTAGGCCTCTTAGTTTATTAAAGTTAGCTTTTCTAAAATTGAGTCTTGTTGTAACACATATATACCCCACCGTCAAGCCTAAAACAAATTGAAATGCAACTTCTTGTTTGCATACTCTTTTCTCTTAAGCTACAATCCTCTGTGCCAAACACCAGCTTACCTGTGTTGAAGATAACAGTGCTAAAGTCATGGTGGGGGAATCTATTTCTTCATTTAATAGCAGATAACATACATAAGCCACCCTCGTAAAACAAACCAGCAAATAGCCATGCATGTCTGTGCACTCAGCACACAGATTGGGAGCGACAGTATTTTGCACCAATTAGGGCTGTATTTCTTTGCACAACTCTTGTCAGTCCAACAATGTAAACATGCTGACAGAAGAGAAAAGCACAGGCATGATCTCATTATTGTGCTACTGCTCCTCTATTGTCCAGTCAACAGGCTGGGGTGGGTCTTCTAGGATGCCTGACATTCAGAGATCTCACTAAGCTTTCTAAAAGAGACCAGAACCACTGGTTGATCAGAATTTAAAATCTTTTGTCAGGTTCAACATGAATGTGTTTTTATTACGTATGTAGCTGTTTGCCTAGAATTCAGCAGTTTTAATCTATGCAGCCATTACTGGTCATTAGAATGTACCTAAACTCTAGTGTAGCCTAATTGAGGCTTCACCTACATGTCATAGAAAGCCAATAGTTGCTTCTGAAGATTTATTGAATTACTAAAGATTTAATGATTTCTGACAATTTCTATCACACCCTTTACTGGTAATGTGATTGCTGGTGATTACAGTAATACAATGCATGTAGTCAGCTGATGAGAGATTGCCATAATTAACAAACACTTACAGGGTTATTCACAAAAGGGTGACGAGTTTGGTGAAGGCAGGAGAAGTGAACAATCTAAGACAACATAGCTGAACTGGAAACTGAGCTAGACTGGATAATCTTTCCAAATAAGCTATGTTGTCCTAGATTGTTCACTTCTCCTGCCTTCTCCAAACTCTTGACACTTTAGTGAATAGCCCTGAAAATATTTATATTGCATGTATAGCTGAGTATACATTTTCTCAGACCCGATTGGTTTAAATGTGTGTGTACATTTTGTTTTGAGAAATTGTAATTGTTCTTAAAATCCAGTCTCAGTCTGAGATGTTTAAGTGATTAATAGGTACAGCATGATTATTTCTTGATAGCTAATGCAGGGAACTAGCTACTTCTAATATATTTAGTAGCAACAAAGGATCATCTGTGTCATTGAATTATTTGAGAAACCAAAAGAGCTTCTAGAGCAATATTTATCTTTTCCAAAGGAATTATTTATTATGATTTATTGTATATTCTCACAAGTATGATCAAGGGAAAAATGGGAAAGGATGCACATTTATTCTAATTTTAGTGTATTATTTACTGACATTAAATTATTGTGGGTTAGTTTACTGGGATACAAGAAAATCTGTTTTATAAATGGCCTTGAAGAACTCTTATTTAATGAGCTTTAGTGGCAATGATTTATATGGTTTCTTTGTCTTCATTGTGGGAAATGGGTGATGTATTTAAACACTGGGTAAACTGTATTTACATTCCCAGAGTTATATCCTAAAGTGTATGTAAAGGCAAATTATGTTCCTCTGTTTTGGATAGGGAAGATGTAGACTCTTTGTCAAGATTTTATTGCTCTCTATATCCCCACTGGATTCACCCAGGTCCTGGTTACCAGGACAAAAAGTTAGGAAACATCACCAAGGCAAGAGATGACAGAAAATCCTCCAATAGGCTCACCTGCCCTGTGGCAACTGTCTAGATTAGCTAGAAACTTGGAGATTCCCTCTTATTTCCTGTTGCGTCTCCAGGACAGGCAGTGAAAGGGAATATCTCTATTTGGATACAGACAGAAAAATATAATCTAATAGGGATTTTGATCCTTCCATACCCTACCTAAAACACAAGAACAAAGTTGGCTTTACATTAACATTAAGAGTATTGTTTACTCCTATTGATGTTATATCTTGTTCAGCAATTTATTGGGATAGAGGAATTGTTATAGTTCAGGGCTCCTGTCTGTAGTGTGTTACAGTATTGTTTCAAGGCTCAAATAAGATGAAATGACAGCCTAGTAGGTTACATTCTGAATATCCCAGCCCACTTACTATAAAGAAGTTCCCAGGTTGAATTCAGTCTCATGAAGGGGAGCTTGGCATGTAGTGGGTATAAAGTATAAGGTGAATCAGGGTGCAAAAAAACAAAATACCTTTTAATAGTGGTCACATGACTGCTACCTTGCCTTCTTTCTCCAGCAGTTTGGAGGGCTGGTGACTAAAAACAAAGCTCAACAGCTTCCGCTGACATCAAAGATCTCAGGAGCTCTTTTACTCCATGGTTATCTGTGTCACTCAAGCTGAGCAGGGCTGGATAGAGGATATGTCAGCAACAATCCAGCAAGCCATGTGTTTAAACTATGTTTAAA